TTTCTTTTTTAATAAATTAGTTAATAATTAAACCTTTCATATATCTTTAATTTTCATTTTATATTCTTTATTTCTCAATGCAACACATGCTTGCAAATCATTTTTACATTTTCAATATATAATAAGAGGATAGGTTGAGATTTTGAAACAATTTTAAAAAATGGAGTGGGTTGGGTTGTACGTGGATAGACGAAAAAAGAAACAAGAACAGAAGTGGAAATCGTTGGAGATTGTTAGGGGATGATGAATCAAAATACACTCATTTTGATTTACTGGGTGTTCCATTATCAGTGGCTGAAATTGTAACCTTTACATATAGAAGATTCTTAGAGATAAATAATATATAGGCCACATTATTCTGCATTCCCATCACGCATTAATAATTTTATATTAATTTTTAAAAAAAATATAATTTGCTGAGCTCCATTATTCCATGCAACATTTTGTTTGCTGGAGCCACTCTCGGTTCCGGTCATATCATCGACCCTGAATATCCTCTTGGTGGGTTCTCGGTCTAGCTCTGCCGATGACTGATCACCTTCAGTTTCAACCTTGATTTCTGTTGCACCTTCCTCGTCTATAAACTCATTTCCCTCTCGGACACAAGTAAATCAACATAAAAATCATAGACAATTTATCATGCAAGGGAAACCAGTACAAAAGAATTTAATTATACCAGTTGAATACAGTACATATGTATTGATTATGATATATGAAGGATTTGACTAAGATAACGTATGCAGATATGCACTAGAAGATGGGGTGTATTTGAATTATTTCTAAAATAGTAAAGCAGATAGGTCAATACTCACCATATATATTGCAGGACTATTTCATATTTGAGATTGTAGTTTAAACTTTAAACGGTAGAAGAATTATAAAAAAGACTAGACGTTTTGGTAATGGCTTCCTCTATAGACACGTATGACATGCGGTGGCTGCTTCGACAATCGTCCTTATCCCAAATTTCTATCGATTAAACACATTTGCTGATTCTTTTACCCAGATTATTAGTCATTTTACTGTTTATGCGTATTTAATTTAAATAAAAGGAGACGTGAGCTCAAAAAAGAATACAAAACAATAGAGACTACACGGGGCTAATACGCCTCAAACTCTTGGAGAGGGGTAATGAGGCTGATTGACCATGTTGGGCATATTTGAATTTTAAATACATGTACCTAGTAATAAGTTCTGCAAGTTAAATATTAGCACATGTGAGTATAAAATGGAAATAGCTTGAGGATATTAAGATGGATATGTAGTTATACGAGATGGATAAGATGAGAAATGAAGATATTCGACAAAAGGTAAGAGTACCACCAGTGGTTAAAAAGATACAGAACATATATTGAGGTGTTTGGGCACGTAATGAGAAGGCTCCTGACGCTCTCGTAAAATCAAAAATTTGTTACTAAGACCTCAACACAAAAAAACAGTTATATATATTTATATATATATATATATATATATATATATATATATTACTATTTTATTTATTTTTTTATCTTTTTTCAATCTTTTCGTATTTTTTGTTTGAGTTCATCTACCACCGACCCCAATTAATTTGGGATGAATGTGTTGATGATATTAATATTGATGTACACATATACATATATATTAATGTATATATATATATATATATATATATATATATATATATATGGTAAAATTATTTCTGCAGCCGTTTTTCGTACAGCAACGACAAATGTATGGTTATGATTGCCTACATTTAATGTTTTCATTCTTTGTATAGTTATGATTCCTCGCATTTAATGCTTTCAAATATATATATGGTAAGTATTTGATTATATGGTAAGTATTTGATTGTTACACGTACAACAGCCACAGAAATGTAAACCCCTATATATATATAGGGAAAAATTGTTTGTCCTTTTAAATGACACAACTTATATTCTTTCACTCTCACAAAGAGGTGGGACCCCACACCTTTATATTTTTTTGTCCAATCTCTCTCCTCCTTTATCTATCTCTTTCTCTAACTTAAATGATACACACTTTTCTCTATATAAATAAACAAATATATATATAAATATATATAGGGTAAAGGATTTCTTCAGTCACCGGAGATAAAGTTATCTCCAGTGAACTCAAAACGACGTGGTTTTGGGACGAAAATCAAGATGTTTTTGTAATTGTAATATATTGCAGGGTTATATTAGTCTTTATCATTACAATTTTTTAATCTTATAACAAACGACGTCGTTTTGAGCTCACGGGAGATAACTTTATCTCCGGTGACTGGAGAAATAATTTGCTATATATATATATATATATATATATATATATATATATATATATATATATTTTTAACATATTTATCCGTGAGAATTACACGTGGCTGATTGAGGCAAATGTGTGATTTTGACTGGGACAAACTCTTAAAAAAAATTATAGGTGCTGCCAGAGTAAACCTTTTAATTTTAAAAAGCACATAACTGATTTTATGGAATTATTAACGTCCTTATAAGTTATAACTATATCGACCCATTCTTTGTAATTATATCCCATTTCATCATTAATGATTCCTTCTTGTAATTAATTCGCCTCATTCTTTGTAATTAATTCATTTTGTAATTCATCATCAATTGGTTCAAACATCTCAATTAACTCATAATTGATGCATTTACTGTAATTTTAAAAATTCATTAATGCATTAATTTGTCATTGATTCGCCTCGTTGATAAACTTGATTTTACATACCAAACATAACCAATAGTTAATTTTACATATTAGTAATTGATGTAGTGCATTTATATTTTTTTTAGAAAATCTAATAATTAGATTAAACTTAAATTTTAAAAACTATTTAGATTCAAGATATATATCCAACATAATTTGATAAAAAAAATGGTGTCCTTTTTTTTAATAACAAAATTGCATACCTTGTTACTAAACCATTAATAATGCAATCTATTATTACAATAATCTCAAATATGTTTGCATTGGTTGTGTACAAATAACAGATAAAGTAGCTTGGCAAGACCTTCAAATAGAAATGAATCCGTGTGATAAGTTAACATTGGAACTCAGAAAAAATTTAAAATGAATTTCTAAAATTAAAATTAGTGCAATAATAAAAAATTAACGGGGCGAGTTGTAAGGTGAATTAAATTACAAAGAATGTGGTTAATTAATTATAAGAAGGTGATTTGATTGCTGAAAATTAGATTTAACCATAAGTTTCATTACATTTATCACTATTTAATTATGTCTAATCTTTTCAAATAAAATAAGAGTAATTTACTCCAGTGTTGTTGCATGTTATGTTGTCAAGTGCGTGTACAAAATTTCAAACATAATATGTGTAAGTATACATAATGTTCAGTACAAAAATTAGGTGAGGGAATAATACCGTTCCCATGAGGATAGCAAAATTTAGTGAAATTCTTCAAATAACTGTATATGCATAGCCATGAAATTAAATGAGTGATTAGATTTGATTAACTAGCATTAAGTAAGAGATAAACCAGAAATAATAAGAACATAATAAAAAAAAGTTGTTTAACGAGTTTCAAACAGAAATGGAATAAGGCAAAGGCAACACCTACAGTTAGTATATTTTAAAAAAATTGTGCAAGTCGAAAGTGCACATTTATATCAGGCCGTCATTTGTAAGGAATAAGCTCCTGATCCCAACTCCAGTTATCTAACCAATCTGCAGAGGCATTATCCTCTCTCAAAGGGATATTGTTTTTATTTCATTTTGACCACCGTGCTGATTGTATAAAATTAGAACAATTCATTTGGCGAGACATTTTATGAATATTCATTTATATTTTTTGGAATTTTTCATAAAAAATTACACTGACCTTAGAGTGCGATCTCAAAAGACCATGTTTGTGCTGATCTTACACGGTTCAAGCTCGGATACAGATCACTCGGTCGTTCGTAATAATCACGTGTAGGACTTGAAACTGTCCAAAGCCGTGCTGACCTATAAGATTATTTCAACAAATTGCTAAGGTTCACACTTTAAAATGTATAAATACTACCTCAAAACACCAAGCTTATCCTGATTTTGTATGGTCCTAAGTCCTAACCGTGTTGGGCCACTCTGGCTTTATCATTATCACAGACAGTCAGCATAGACTTCTTGATGCTTGCTCAACTTCTCCAGTTGAAATTACTAATTCTTTTCATTTAAGAATTAACATGATAATGACTTGATTCGATAAAGTGACGAGGCGGAAAAAAAATTAATTTATTATATTTTAAATAAAAAATTATGAATTTATGGCTGTTTTTCAGATAATTACGTATTTATTGCATAATGTTATGTCCAATTTGAGCGTCACATGTCAATGCCCAAATTGGGTGTAACATTATGCAATAAATGCGTAATTATTTTAAAAACAGTCATAAATTCATAATTTTTTTGTATAAAATACAATAAATTAATTTTTTTTGCCGCCACCGTAGTCTTCTAGACTAATATACCATGAGTCATTCCTGATCATAGAAGGTTATACCACTTAATGTACATTTTCTCCAATTTAAATATGGGATAGGATATTGTGACACCCAAGTTATGTTACACCCATGTGACACCCAGTCAATCTCACCGTTAGATCGTTTATGTTGATCCAACGGTTATATTTATTTCCATCTTTGTATGGTCATGATTTCCCAAATTTAAAGTGAAAGCATTAAATATGGGAAATCATAACCATACAAAGGTAGAAATAAATATAAAATATTAAATTTGGGAAATCATGACCATACAAAGATGGAAATAAATATAACCGTTGGATCAACATAAGCGATCTAACGGTGAGATTGACTGGGTGTCACATGGGTGTAACATAACTTGGGTGTCACAATATCCTATCCCTTTAAATATTGCTCAAACTGGCTATCCCAGGTTTTGTATTCTATGAATTCAAAAATTTTAGCTTAATGTACTCATACTATAATATTGAAATAATTCATACACTGGTCGAATTATTTTTTGCAGACTTTAAAGTCTAATTTCATGGTTGTGTTTTTGCCTCGGGATGAAAATAATAATGAAAAATGAAGCCTACTATAAGAAAGTCAGGGACATTATGGTTAAAAAAGTTACGAACAAAGGGAACAAATAAATATCAGAGCCACAGTCATAAAGCCCAGTGGAAGCCTCATTATGTATAGCAGTAACATTGTGATTTGAAGTGGGTACGGACTGATTTGTATTTGAAGAGGCTACGAACTGAAGGAATGCATCAGCCATCATCTGCCCAAGATTAACCTGGGCCGGAGTCGAAAGGTGAAGCCCATCGGGCTCAAGTGGCAAACCCTGAGCCTCCACTGTTCTCAGGTTTAAGAGGTCAATACCCAGCTGAGCTTGCCTTATTATCTCTATGTATGGGCCTGATCCTGATGCCAAAGCCACCTACAATTAGAAGAACCAAGCAAAAAAAGCACCACTTTCAATCGTCTATATGGTTCTCAACTGACTGCCATCGCGAAGTAAATATGTCTTAATGATAAAGACACGTTACTCTCTTCGATTAAGATTTTAGTTTAAGGGATCTCTATAGCTTAGTATTTGAGTTTAAGATGTCTCTATAAAGTAATCAGTTAGGCAAAACTAATATATCATTTGCAAGGCAATGAAAGTAGTTTAATGCATACACAACACTAACAAGATTATTACCTATATAGATTAGTAGTTGATAACATGAATTGACAGGAATCATTCGACAGGTAACCATTAATTATACTGCAAGCTGAATCTAACACTTGTTCCATACTAACGAATCTCAATTTTCCTTTTGAAAAAAAAGGAAATGATAATAAATAGAATTTAATTTTGACTTTAGAAAAAAAAATTACACTCATTAATAAAATATTTGCATGCCATTTCAAGAGTTTAACAATTCATGTGTTGTTAAATTTATTAATATGGGGACAGTGAGAATCAAACTTGTCACTAATAATCATAGGGACTCTAATACCATGATAAGCAACCATATGATCCAACAACTTAAGATGGTAAGTGATGATAGGTCTGGAATAATTATATATTATATATTTCTAACACATAGGTTACATTATTTACACAACAAATTGTTACATTATTTTCTATATTTATTTAAAAAATAAGAATATGTTTTTGATTATTAAAAAGGTGATATAATAAAAGAATAGATTATTATTTCTCATGTTGTAGGAAATAAAATTATCTCTTACACATACATGAAAGTGTGTGGAGCACATGTTCTCTTTTTCTCTTTATTTTCATCACATAGTCTTACATATTTTTATGTGTGTGTAGTAGATAAAATTATCTTTAAAAAACATTAATCCCGCAAAATAGTATGCAAATAATGGTTTCAAACACCATAGATTATAGAGACTTTTCAAATTATTTATAATTATCATTTTAGATTTTGGATGATAAAGTTTCCAATCCCATAAAACATATACCTGTATCCTAAGGTACCCAACACCCAAGGATTGAAGATTCTTCCATTACAATCATTTCCTAATAAATCAACAGTCAGCTACCAGTTCAGTTTTATTATTTGTCCTGACATGCGTAGACGGACATACGCAAGGTTCCTAGATAATGCTTTGCTCCGAAATAATTCAGTTGATATTTATATATATTCCAATCCCAACTACTTTTCATTGAAAATATGTATAAACAAACGGAAGGTGAAAACCAAACCGAACCTAACAATTTATTGAGTAACTAGTAAATAATAAATATTTTTAGGATAAAAATAATGCTTTGAACAAATAAGAAAAGGAAAAAGAAAAAATTGGAACCTGGATAATAGGAAGCAAAGGAGACTGCAGATCATCACGAACGTCCAAGAAGAACTTGTGGACTCTTCTTTGGTATGATTGGGCATCATTTAGAGTCACTGTATCAGACTCCCCTTGATACCAAAGCAGGGCTCGAATACTGCCACCATTGCGCAATGATTCCTTAGCCCTTCTCATCATGTGATTGTAAAGCACTTTTCCCCGTTCCCACTGGCTTATGGTGGTGCCTCCGATCGCACAAGGGACCAAACCCACCACACCAAAACCGGGGTTTTTGTCCAAGACCGAATTTGCAAATGCCATCCCTGGCCCAATCCCATTTTTCTTCTTGGTATCGATGTCCTCGTGGAGCGGTTCATGCGCTTCCACCCACCTCAGCTGTGCGTCGAGCCTCAGAATTGACGGATTTGGACCGCACTGTGGAGGAACGACACCGTCCCAGGCGTCGTTTACTACGCCACCCCGTCCAGCCATGTTGCTCTGTCCGGCCAATATAAATATGTTTTTACCAGCTTGTTGTGGCCTCACTGGCCATACTTGAATCAGAAATAACAATAATAACAAGGAAGGCATATTCTTAATTAGGTTCGGGGTTTGAGATGAAGACACTCCTACTCCACACTTGATTATTTATAACGCCATATCTAAAGCACAAAGAAAAAATTATGAGATGCTTCCTCGTTATTCTATTTATAATATTTGCAAATTGCATTTCATACAGTCTGTACCTAATTCTCCAATGATAAAAATAATTAAATTACCACGTGAACAAAAGTCTTTTAGTTATACTTTGTTTTTTTCAGAAGAGGGTCAAAATAAGACAACGATACTTGGAATAAAAGTTTATGTTGAAGCTTGGCCCAAACTAGGGAGCGAGCTAAACTTCATCGTTGATTACTTTTTAGTTTATGTTGAATGGTCCGTCAATTAATATTTCTTGACTTTTGGCATCGGGGAATGTAATTGGAACAAATAAAGTAAGCGTTTGCATTTATCATCTAACATGACACAAGAAAGTTTTTTACACAAAACAACATTTTGTGAGGTCTATATTTTTTGAATCAAAAGAAAAAAACTACGGCACACAAAACAAATCTCTATAACATTACACAATCACTTTTCCTGCAACATAATTCTAATAAAACTCATAAAGTAATTGGATCAATTATGATGTTTACTCCCACTTTAACCAATTACGGATCATGAAAAACTTCAATTTCTTCAGGAGATTGGAGGAAACGGGAAATGCAGCGTCACAAATCGTGGTCGCTCGTAAGTGAGGAAATATATTCTCTCCCATGATATGATTATATGAAAAAATTATAATTATACAAAAAGAAAATCAATAATAATAATTTTGTACTTATATATTTTAATATTTTTTTCTACGGACAAAATAGAATTCTACGGATTGTTTTGTGCACGATAGAAGGAATCATTAGTCATGGCTAAGGGCCCAAGGCAACAACTAGGATGGTCATGGATCTTGTTTCTATGCGGGCTTCATTTAGACTGGTCTTCCTTCGTCAATGCATGCGATTAAATAAGGAGGAATCAGGTGGGATGACTCGGTCCTACCCCAGCGTTCAAGTTAATAAAATAGGGAAACTTAAATTAAGTTTGATAAAATTCCCAAATTTCGTATTAAATTCAAACTTATTCTCTTAAAATCATTTTAATGCCTTAATTTATTTTTTATTAAAAATAAAACATCATTTTTTTTCTATTGTCTTTAAATTTTGAATTTATTTTTATTACATGAATTATTCTTATTTTTTCATAAGTTTACGTATTTTTAATTTATGTAATATCTCTGTGCGTGTGAGTATTATGATTTTAAATACTTTTAATTTTTAATTTTTTTATGGATTCAAATATACCAATACAATCCACGAGATATATGCTAATTTAGGGGGCATTGAATGAAATTTTTTATATTATTGTGTTACATTTTTCAATTACCAGTTACGCCTCCACCCCAAATCATCTTCCATTTCAATTTTATATTCCTCACACCATTATTCCTATTTTATTCTTTGTCAATTTTATAGCTTTTTTTTTTTTTACTTCAAATTATACAATCAATTTCAACACACTTGATATGTGAACGTGGATAAATCTAGTTTTCATTTTTCAGAATTCAAGAGAAATATGAAAAGCATATAAAATGTTAATTACTTTTCTATCCCCAATCTTTCTTATCATTTGAATTGATTTTGTTTTTTAAGAAAACAAAAAAATTTAAAAGTAATATTTTCAATAAAATGTAAAACTTACTTCGCATAAAGCATAATAGACATGCTTATATTCCATTTTTTTCATTAAAAAAACACGCTTATATTTAAAATTTGATAGTTATATGATTTTATTATATTTTATTTGTTTGTAATAATATTTACACGCACTTTTTAACTTTATGTACATAATTAAAATAAAAAATTAGCTAAATTTATTTTGATATGTTGACTGAATCTTTTAGGACATAAAAATATTTATAAGTCGTACTCTTTATCTTCTTTTTCTTGAGAAAATAAATTTATAATTTTACCTTAATTAAATTTTTTATAAATTTTTCTTAAAGACATCTTAAACTGTTTTTTTTTAATTATTATGTTATTTCATTTTCATAAAAATATTAACTCATCTTATGCTAAATTAATAAAATAGGTAAAATAAAAATATATCATCAATGATATAATAAAATTATAATATCATTGAGAAGAGGAAAAAATGCGATAATGAAAAAGTAGAGTGTATTCCATGATTTAAAATTGTGGAATTTCTCATAACTTTACCAATAAATTTTTCCTATAAGATATATTTTAAAATATGATAGGATTCTTTGATACCAGTGTCAAATTTTGAAATTTGACACCAAATCCTAACCGTTGATTTCCGCCAATCAAACTTATTAATTAATTATTAATTTTCAATAAATGATAATCATTAATTGGCGAAAATCAACTGTTAGGATTTAGTGTCAAATTGTAAAGTTTGACATCAATGTCAAAGGATATATCTCATTTAAAATTCTTATAATTAGAACTTATAAGATTAAAAGTAAAGTTTTATAAGAGTTATACGATTAAAAATGATTGTGTTATGTTATAGAGATTCGTTTTGAGTGCCGTAGTTTTTTTTTTCTTCAAAACATGCGGGTCCCACAAAATATTGTCTGTGTAGGAAACTTTTTGTGGTCATATTAAATGATAAATGCAAACCCCTTAAAAGTAATAGAGAATGATTACCTAGAAAAAAAAAAGTAATAGAGAATGACATCATAATATATACGTTTATAACAATTGTATTTTTTAGGCCCAAACTTTAGAACTTTACATAGAGAAAACCTTCAAATAGGAGTTTCATCATTCTTGTAATGGAATCCACAATTCAATTCACTAAAATATAAATGAAAAAATAGTTAGCATAATATTCTTAGAACAACGTCTTTTTCAGGCCCAAAAAAAGTTTGGGCCCAATCCAAATTCTACATATCCAGAATTAATTTGAATCAAAACTATTGATTTGGAAAATTATAGTTTTTTATACTTAACAATATTTTTTTTTTCTCTCATGGGATGTCCAAATATGGGGTTAGTCCTTAGTCAAGTTTTGATGACCAAACTTTGGTCACATGCATTTCTAGTGAAATTCAAATGCTTGCACTAAAGATAAACTTTGCCTCCATAAATATTACGAGCATGTTTGATAAGTATTTTGTAAAACAATTTTTTGTTTTTAAAAACAAAAAATAAAAAAACTTGTTTAGTAATGGCTGTTTTGAAAAATAGTTATAAGAACATCATCTCTTCTTTAGTTTTTAAAACAAGAATTAGAGAACATACATGAGGTGTTTTGGTTTTATTTTTCAATACTCTCTTTCCAAAACAAGAAAAACACGGAGAACTACTTATTTTCATTAATGGCAAACTGTAAATAAGCAAATATTAGAAATCCCAGCAAAAATAGATTTGATTAGAGTAGATGAGAAGCTAAATGGAACTCATAGGATTGTGAAGATTGGTGCGAAGTTGTTGAATAACGAGAGCGTAACCTCATGAAACCTTGCACTGGAGTCCGGAGGGACCCGCATCTCGGCTTGCCTCGTTCCCATTCAAAGGCATGTAAAAGTTCAGGGTGCTTCATAATCACTTTCAAATTAGTCATTTTCTCAACACAAAAAATTCAAAATCGAAATATCAAAATTGAAAGGAATGGAATGGATGTTGATGATCTTTTAGGTAGTGTTTGGTTGAAGGTTTATTTTAGGATTGATGGGAAAGTGTAGGTGGATATTGGAAAATACCACGTTTGGTTCAGGTTTTTTCAAGAAATACCAGGCAAATAGGATAGATGGGAAAATGACTTTTGTGTTGATTTTTGGATGAAATTCACTGTTACAGAATACCACTTGAGATGTGGTATTTTGAGATGCTGGGGAAGTGAAAAAAACAGGTGCAAAGTTTCACCCGAACATAGATTTTGCATATTTAAATAAATTTTCCTGGTAATATTTGAGTCAACCAAACAACTTTTTTTACATTTTCCTATAAAACTCACTTTACAACCACTTTCCTATCAATTACATTTCTCTAGTAAAAAAAAATTTCTCCCGAACCAAACACTACCTTAAGTCCAGCAAAAATTATTTCTTTTTTCTATGAACCCTCTTCCATCTGCATCGATAGCTTGTCTCGGAATCTTCAAAAAAAAAAAATCATCTTGGCTCTTGAGGTTTTTACATATAATTAAAAAAATTATTAAAGTAACTTAAAAAAACCAAAGTTAATAATCAAATGAGTTATTTATTTATTTTTTAAAAAACATGTTCTTAAAACAAATTTATCAAACAGATTTTTTTGTTTTTTAACTTTTGAAATTCTTTTCAAAACAAGTTTACGAAAACGGAACAGAATATTTTATTATGAAAATCAATTCTTAAAAATTATTTTACAAAATAATTTTTAAAACAAAAAAATTAAAACACAATCAAATAGACCCTATATTTCTGATCAAGCCATGCCTCGTAATTGAATGCAACACTGATACACGATTATTTGGCGCTTTTGTACGTGATGTTATACAAATAATTTTTTTAAATTTAAAAAACTGATATTTCAAAAAAAAAAAAAAGAATCATTTTGTTTAATTTTTCATTAATGAAAACTTATATTACAGTAACTTATAAGACATCGCACCACTAGGGTTAGCCTAGAGGTGTGTGTAGTGTAGGGTGTTGTGTTCAATTCCTTGTAACCTCAAAAAAAAAAAAAAAAAGAGACATCCTTTCATTTATTTTTCATTTGCAATACAAATCGTGTAACTAATGATTGGTACCTTTTAATTCATTGACAAAAATAATTTTATAGAAATTGAGCTTATTGTAAAAAATCATTTCAATTCAAAATTTTAAGATATTGGGTGAGAGTTTTTTTAAGAGTTTATATTATTCTCTAATATTTTTCCTTACACGATAGCTTTTTGAGCTTGAAGCGTGAATATTACACAGGCTAGTGACCTTTTGGTCACTGAAGCTCTGATACCATATAAAGAACCACTTCAACCCCAAATCTTAATGTATTGAGTTTTTAATGGTTTATATTATTCTCTAACACTTATTGTTATTTT